TTTCCTTTCTGCAGGCAAGGTTGAATCATTTGAATAGTACAGGTTGTTGATGAGTCTTCCTCTTTTGGTATTATTATTATTATTATTTTTGTGTGTACCGTCAAATCAGATCTTACTGGTACAGGAGGAGACTGTCCCTCCTTCTTCAGCAGAGCATCTGGTGGATTCGAACCACACACCTCTGCAATTGCAGTGCTGATGAGTCTTCCTTTTGATACCACATTCTTCTTCATATAAGCCACCTTCTGGAATGATTTGCTCAGCATGCAAATTGACTAGGTATGGGAAAAGGAAACTGCCCTGATGCACATCTTTCCTGACTTTAAACTATGCTTAATTTACTTTCGTTTGTTTTGTAGATTTGAAGTTTTTAGAGGTTTTTAGTTCAAAGGTAATCTTTTCTCTCAATATAGCAATGTTATTAAGATTTTTGTTTCTTTGTTTTTGCATGCTAGACAGTTAAATGTTCTCCGATTGTTCATTTTTCTGTCTTTAATAATATTAATTGTTCTCCTTTTGCATCTTCCCCCCCCCATTATCACCAGTTGCCAAATATACCCTGCTATTACATTTTACTATTTTCTTCTGTGATCGCTGTGTGTTTCAAAGATTGTCACTTCTATGTGCTTTGAGTCCCTGCTCACATATACCACTTATGTTTAAAGTATTTTTACACCTAGCATGGGCTTCTCTTTAAAAAAGTCATTTTAGGGTCATTTTACATTTGTTGCCAGCTCTGCTTTTCTGTCTTCCAACAGATTTTCTCAGATTGCTCTTGTGCATGACAAAAGCTATTGATATGAGCATGAGAAGTTTGTTGTTAGGATTTGTTGCTATTTTTTCCTATTGTACCTAAGTCTGTTTTAAAGTTTGGGAATTCTCTCTACTCTAGTTGTGTTGGAAGGATGGTCTTGTGTTGTTCCAATGTTACAAATGAAGTATTTGGGGTCAGTTACAGCATGGGTGCCAGGGGGCCCAAAGCAGACTGGACAGTTACTTGATATTATTGACTACACAGGGCTTAAGAGATTTTGAGTTTATAGGTTCCTGGAATGCTGCTCCGCTCTGACAGATGGTATGTCTAGACCCATCACTTTTAGTGGGTATGCTGCCAGGCTGGGAGAGCTTGCCTGGGCCCAGCTGTGAGTGAGGGATGTTGGCGTAACCTCAAGGTTCCACTGAATCTACCTGGCAGTTCCTGGGCTTTTATTCACTCACCACTGTAGATGTAATTGTGATTTGTCTGGAAAGCTCGTCTCCAACTTTACTGAGACCCAAGATTAGCTTGCAAATGTTTCATGGCTGTGATGCCTTCCATTTGGGGAATTTTACTGCAGCATCTTAGGTAGAGGTAAGATGATTAATATTTGCAAATGGTGTTTTAATAGGAGCATTGAGAATTTTCTGATTATGTGAAAGAATGAGTGGCAGATGAGAGAATGCTTAGACTTAACCATTTGTTTTGGCTCTGGAAATATTTCCCTTGTGTGATCTCTTGCAGGATTAAGTCAATGTGGCCGCTTGCACTGTTAGTCATTGGCAGCGGAAATGATACATCTTTAAGCTAAAACGATGTGTGTTTAGGAGAACTCTTTACGATAAAATCATAGGTTTATGGCTTACTTAGCTCCTTGTGATTTCAATGAGTCATAACATCTCTGGACTGAACTTTGTTTCCTGGGCCAGAGCATCCCAACATAGTAGAGCAGCCTCTCAGTGCATTTAAGCCTTTTTTTTTTTAAAGTTTAGCTCTGTAATTTGTCACATTTTCATATACTTTGTTCAGGAAAATACTTAATGACCAAGTGTAAAATACCTGAGCCATTCTACATTTCAAGATCTTACTTTCATAAATTTATAAAATGAGGAAATTGGGCACTCTCATTTCAACAGGCCTGACTCTCAGCTCTCTGGGTATAACTTGGCAACACCTTCCCCTTTATATGTAGCAGGTAGGGGAGTTTAGATAACGTTGCAACCATCCTTTGCTCTCCTCTGTCCAGGTGTATGTACGGGAAGTTCCACCCGGCACATTGTGACCTTTGATGGGCAGAATTTCAAGCTGACTGGCAGCTGTTCCTATGTCCTATTTCAAAACAAGGAGCAAGACCTGGAGGTGATTCTCCATAATGGTGCCTGTAGCCCTGAGGCTCAGCAGACCTGCATGAAATCCATTGAAGTGAAGCATGGTGGCCTGTCTGTGGAACTCCACAGTGACATGGAGGTGAGAGCTGCTCTCTGGAGATCCTGTGGCAAGCAGAACCTCTGGAAAGCCACGTGGACCTGGTGTGAATTGGTTTTATCTCGTGCTCATATTAACTGACCAAGTACCACTTTCGTAGGAGGGGCTTGTAAACCCCCCCCCCTTTTTTGGTGTGATTTAATATTGATTTGAGCTAAGGCTAGAAAGAGAAGATTTATTTTAGGTAACATTAAATTATTAGTTTAGTGTGTGTGTGTCTCGTGTGGAAGAGAATTGAGATTGGCTATCAGAGCTGTTTATTCACTAGACTTTTTTAGCCCACTACCTAAGTCTTAAGGGATTTTCAGTTACCTTTGAAATAATTTAGGCTTGGGAGAAAAATTATGTCTCCAAAATTTGAAAAGAAAACAGTAAATTTAATCTTTGTAAAGATGACTTTATGCCAACTTCCATTCTTATTTAATTTAGAAGTCATAATATGTCATTACATTTGCAAACAATTTGTAGGTTGGACATTTCCCCCCACTTTTAAGAATATGTACAACGAATACTGAAAAAAATTACAGCTACTTGAATATTATAATAGTAACTATTAGCTCAATATTTAAAATAAAATTTATAAGAACCATTCTACAATATTTACATCAACATTACATTTGTTGTAGAATGCAATTATGTTTTAATATGTATTCATCAGAGAGTTGGACAATGACTAAGGAGGATAGAAGGAGAATTGATGCCTTTGAGCTGTGGTGCTGGAGAAGAGTATTGAGGGTACCATGGACTGCCATGAAAACAGATTCATCCTGGAGAGGGTTAAACCGGGCGCCTCCCTGGAGGCAAGGATTCTGGTCTAACATACTTTGGACATGTTGTAAGGAGGGACAGGTCCTTGGAAAGGGACATCATGCTTGGTAGGGTGGAGGGACAGCACAGGAGGGGAAGGCCCTCTATGAGGTGGATTGATTCAGTGACTGGGGTAATTGGGATGGTGTATCGGAGACGGTGTGATTGACACAGGAGAGAGCAGAGTTTAGGGCTGTTGTAGATAGGGTCTCTATGAGTTGCAAGCACCTTGATGGCACATAACAACAACAACAACAACAATATGATATGGGTAGGGCCTCCAAAGAAAGAACTAGTGACAGAGAAAAAACAAAAAGACTTAAAATAGACAAGCTAGATATTCTTGGAGATAATTATGACTTGGCATAATGACAACTTTTAAACCTTTCTTTAAGGAGATTATTTTTTTACTCTTTTTTTACAAATAAATATCTTTTTTATTTGATGTTGGTTTGTATACAAAGTATTTACTATATATTGGTTTGCATACAAAATTTGTATACATTGTGTTTCATATATTCTTTCACTCACATTATGTTTCATATGCTCATTCCCATACATTCTATTTGTGCTACACAAACTAAATACTTTAACATACATGGCCTTCTGTGCACTATTATAATTGTCTAATCTTCTGTAAAGTTCTATAAAGCTCCTTTTCAATAGAATAGCTACTGGAAAATATCTAAATTTAAGAATGACACTGGAATTGAGTGTGATAGCCAGGTACAGACTGTCAGTAACTTAAGTAACAGGTTCTGGTGCTCAAGGATTTCTTGTTATAATTACTGATGAATTGATTTTCTTCTTTGGGCAGGTGACTGTTAATGGAAGAGTGGTGTCTGTCCCTTACGTGGGGGGAAACATGAAAATCAATGTTTATGGTGCCATCATGCATGAGATCAGATTCAACCACATTGGCCACATCTTCACATTTACTCCACAAAACAATGAGTTCCAGTTGCAGCTTAGCCCTAAGACCTTTGCTTCAAAGATGTATGGACTCTGTGGTAAGTACATTTCTCCACTGCTCCCTGGTTTACTGTACTCCCTGGATTCCTGGGTGCTTACATTTATGGGACCCCTACTGAATACGATGGTTCAGATCCTGATGGGTAGAGAGAGTGGTCTGGTCATTGGCATCAATGATATGGCAACCAATGTTTTTGTCTGTGCCCTTCCTTGCTTCTTTAGGAATCTGTGATGAGAATGGGGCCAATGACTTCATGTTGAGAGATGGTACAGTTACTACAGACCACAGAGCACTCATCCAGGACTGGACGGTGGAGCAGCCAGGGAAAATATGCCAGTCGCTTCCTGAAGAGCAGTGTCCTACTTCCAGCAGCACCCAGTGCCATGTCCTCCTCTCAGACCTATTTGCTGAATGCCACAAGGTTTTTGTTCCAGCCGCATTTTACTCTATTTGCCAGCAGAACAGTTGCCACCAGGAGCAAGTGTGTGATGCGATTGCCTCTTATGCCCACCTCTGTCGGATCAATGGAATCTGTGTTGACTGGAGAGCAACTGATTTCTGTGGTAAGGCTCTGCATGTACCCTTCCAAATACTCAAGACCAACTTGCTGTGGGCTCAAGTAACCTCTCCAGAATTCAGATTCTTTATTTGAGTCATGAAGATAAAAAGATCACCTATTACCTAAGATTCCAGTTATAATCATATAAGATGATGGATATGTAAATAATTCAAACACAAAATTTCTATGTAAACCAAAGGATATTTCTTTCTAATAGTAAGTAGTTCTCTAGATAAATTTAACTTTAATTAGAAACTTATAAATAACTTACCAAGTATCGTATACTCAATCACTAATTTAAAATTCCATCAAGCTTTAATAAAGCCTAACATTGACAGATACAGTAGCAGAAGTAGAGCCCTCAGATTGGAAGAGACTAATAAAATGAGAAGAAACAACTGTAAACATCCATTAATATTGGAACATGGAATGTACAGTGTGAATATAGGAAAATTAGAAGTTGTCAAAAATGAAATGGAACATGCAAAGATTGATATCTTAGTCATTAATGAGCTGAGATGTGCTGCTGTTGACAACTTTTAGTCAGACAACCATATTGTCTGTTATACTAGAAATGACAAATTGAAGAGTAATGGTGTGGTATTCATTAACAAAAAGAACATTTCATGATCTCTCCCAAAGTACATTACTATAAGTGATAGGTACTATCCACACCCATACAAACTAGACCGGTTAATGTAATGCAACTATTATTCAAATATATGCACCAATTATTAAAGTAAAAAGTGATGAAATTGAAGACTTCTATCGACTTTTTCAGTTTGAAATTGATCAAACATGCAGTCAAGATGAATTAATAATAGTTCATGAATAAAATACAAACGTTAAAAATAAATAAAAGACTGGAAAATATAGACTTGGTAACAGAAATGAGGCTGAAGAGAGAATGATAGAATTTTGTACAATGTATAATTTGTTAATTTCAAATACCTTTTAAAAACATAGATGGTGATTTTACCCATGAACTCTACCTGGTGGGCTACACAGGCATCAGATTGACTAATTATGTGTGAAGAGACCTTGGAGAAGCTCAAAAAGAGCAGTTAAAACAAAGTGAAGCGCTGATTATGAACGGACCATCAATTGTTCATGTGCAAGTTCAAATTGAACCAGAAGAAAATGAGAACTAGTCAAGGAGAACCAAAATACAAGCTTGAGTCTATCCCACAAGCATTTAGAAGCCATCTCAAAAATAACATTAAACACTAAAGACTGAAGACCAGTTGAGTTGTGGGATGGCATCAAGGATATATCTGGGAAGAAAACACAAAGTTGTTACAAAGAGGAGGAAAAAAGATCAAATGGATGTCAGAAGAGACTCTGAAAATGGCAGTAGATTGTAGAGAGGCCAAAAGAAAGGTAGAAATACCGAAGAGAGAGAAAAGATTTCAAAAGGCAGCTCAAGAAGATAAAGCAGAGTATTACAATGAAATGTGCAAAGAGCTGGAGTTAGAAAACCAAAAAGGAAGAATACACTGGCATTTATCAAGATGAAAGAACTGAGGAGAAAATTCAAGCCTTGAGTTGCAGTACAAAAGGATTCTACATGCAACATTTTGGATGCAGGAAGAAACATCAGAAGAAAATGGAAGAAAAAGAATTGTACCACTGTGCCAAAAAGAATTGTTTGACACAGAACCATTTTACAATGGATGTCAGATGAGACTCTGAATATTGCACTAGAGTTCCGAGAAGCCAAAGCAAAGGAAAGAAGTCAAGAAATTAAGGAACTGAACAGAATATTTCAAAGAGTAGCACAGGAAGACAAAGTAAAGTATTAGAATGAAATGTGCAAGAAGTCAGAAAATCAAAAGGGCTGAACTTTCTCAGCATTTCTTAAGCTGAAGGAACTGAAGAACAAATTACAGCCTTGAGTTTTAATACTTACGGATACTTTTGGGCAGAACATGAAATGATTCAGGAAACATTAAAAGAAGATGGAAAGAATATACAGAGTCATTGTACCAAAAGGAATTGGCAGACACAGAAGAATTTCATGAAACAACATATGAGCAAGAGCCTATGGTGATGCAGGAAGAAGTTTAAGCTGCTCTGAAAGAACTGGCAAAAAACAAGGTTCCAGGAATTGATGACATGCACATTGACATATTTACACAAATGGACGCTGCCCTGGATGTGCTCACCAAGTCGTGTCAAGAAATCTGGAGGACAACCACTTGGCCAACTGACTAGAAGAGATCTACTTTTGTTCCCATTCCAAAGAAAGGTGAACCAACAGAGTGCAGAAATTATCGAACAGTATCATTGATATCACATGCAAGCAAGATTCTGATGAAGATTATCCAAAAATGACTGGAACAGCACATCAACAGAGAACTGCCTGAAGTGCAGCCTGGGTTTAGAAGAGGACATGGAATTAGGGATATTATAGCTAATGTCAGATGGATCTTGGCTCAAAGCAGAGAGTACCAGAGAAGTGTCTATCTGTGTTTCATTGACTATGCAAAGGCATTTGACTGTGTGGGTCACAACAAGCTGTGGCTGACTCTAAGAATGGGAATCTCAGAACACTTGCTTGTCCTTCTACAAAACTTATATTTGGATCAGGAGGCAGTCGTCAGAACAGAGCAAGGAAACACTGCATGGTTCAAAATTGGGAAGGGTGTGCATCAAGGTTGTGTCCTATCTTGTCAATCTATATGTGGAACAGATTATCCAGGAGGCTGGGCTCTATGACGAGAAATGTGGCATCAGGATTGGAGGTAAACTCATCAACAACCTACATTATGCAGACCTTGCTGAAGAAGGTCAAGGACTGTAGCTTTCAATGTGGATTGAAGCTCAACATCAAGAAAACAAAGATTCTAACCACTGAGCCAATTGGCAGCATCTTGATTGATGGTGAAGAGATTGAGAATGTTAACAGCTTCAGTTTTCTTGGCTCTACAATCAACACTCTTGGTACCAGTAGCCAGGAAATTAAAAGATGAATTGCATTGGGAAAATCTGCATCAGAGACCTCTCCAAAGTACTGAAGAACAGCAATGTCAGTCTGGAGCCTAAGCGCCTGATCCAGGCCATGATCTTTGCAATTACTTGCTATGCAAATAGAGTTGGACAATGAATAGGGATGATAGAACGAGAATTGATGCCTTTGAGCTGTGGTGCTGGAGAAGAGTATTGAATATACCACAGACTACTAGGAGAACAAACAAGTTAATCTGGAGAGGCTGCTCCTTGGAGACAAGGATTCTGAAGCTTCATCTGACATACTTTGGACATGTTGTAAGGCAGGATCTGTCCTTGGAGAGGGATACCATGCTTGGGAGTGTGGAGGGACAGCACAGGACAGGAAGACCCTCGATGAGATGGATTGATTTAGTGACTGGGGTAATGGAGGTAGGTGTATTGGAGAAGAATGGCACAGAGTAGAGGAGAGTTTAGGGCTCTTGTAAATAGTGTCATTATGAGTCATGGGTAACTCAACAACCCATAACAACAACAATATGATCAAGAAACAATATTACTAAAGAAAGAAGTCTAAACTGCACTGGACTGGAATTGCCAAAATATAAAGCCCTAGGAATTGATGGAATGTTAATTAATGTGTTTCAACAAGCAGATGAAATACTGGATGTGCTCACTGGTCTATGTCAAGAAATCTGGAAGACAGCTACCTGGTCAGCTGTCTGGGAAAAATGCAAATTTTCCCATTTAAAAAAAATGTGATCCATCCCTCTCCATTCCTCCTTTCCAGCGAGGAGGTCTGTCCCTTTGGGTTGTACAGTTTTCTAATAGCACTACATGGTTCAAAATCAAGAAGGGTATTCATCAGGGGTGTATTCTGTCTCCATACCTTTTCAATCTGTATGCAGAACAGATCATCCGAGATGCTGGGCTGTACAAGAAGGAATGTGGTGTCAGGACTGGTGGAAGAATCATCAACAACCTGCGTTATGCAGATGACACAACCCTGCTTGCTGAAACTGAGGAGGACCTAAAGCACTTGCTGCAGAAGGTCAAGGACTGCAGCCTCCTATATGGATTGAAGCTCAACATCAAGAAAACAAAGATTCTCACCACTGGGCCAATTGGCAGCATCAGTATGGATGGTGAAGAGATTGAGATAGTTAACAGTTTTAGTTTGCTTGGCTCCACAATCAACAATCTTGGTAACAGCAGCCAGGAAATCAAAAGACAAATTGCATTGGGAAAGTCAGCTATGAGGGACCTCTCAAGAGTGCTAAAGAGCAACAACATCAGGCTGGAGACTAAGGTGCGCCTAATCCAGGCTATAGTCTTCGCAATTACGTGCTATGCATCAGAGAGTTGGACAATGAATAGTGATGATAGAAAGAGAATTGATGCCTTTCAGCTGTGGTGCTGGAGAAGAGTGTTGAATATACCATGGACTGTTAGGAGTACAAACAGGTTTGTCCTGGAGAAGGTGAAGCCGGATTGCTCCTTGGAGTCAAGGATTCTGAAGCTTCGCCTGACATACTTTGGGCATGTTGCAAGGAGGGACTGGTCCTTGGAGAGGGACATCATGTTTGGCAGAGTAGAGGGGCGGCGAAGGAGAGGAAGACCTTCGATGAGATGGATCGATTCTGTGACTGGAGTGGTGGGAATGAGTGCGTTTGGGATAGGTAGGTTGGCACAGGATAGAAGGGCGTTTAGAGCTCCTGTACATTGGGTCACTATGATTCGCAAGCGACTCGATGGCACATAACAACAACAACAACAATAGAACGATCATTGCTTTCTTACCTTAAAAAAAAAAGGTAGGAAAAAAAGGTAATCCAACAGAATGTCAAATTTATTCAATAATCTTATTATTATCACATGCAAATAAAATAATCATTAAAAATTGCTGGAACAGTACATCCACAGGGAACTGCTGGAAATTCAAAGTATGCCTCACATACTTTGGGCATGTTGCTAGGAAGGGCTAGTTCTTGGAGAGGGACATGATGCTGGGAAGAGTCGGTGAAGGAGAGAAAGACCCTCGATCAGGGTAACTGACATGGTGACTGCTACAATGGGCTCTTGTGTGTCAGGAAGTGTGAGGGTGGGACAGGACAGAACAAGGTTCAGATCTATTGTTCTTAGGGTCACTATGAGTCATACTTGACTCGATGGCACCTAATAACAGTCCATATTGAAGACTAGTCTACGATTTTCTGTAGCAAGGGTTGTTCACTTTCTGCCGACAAGGCTGTGTCATCGATGTAATGCAGGTTATAAATGACTCTGCCTCCAACCCTAATGCCACATTCTTCTTCCAACAGTCCACCTTCTCAAACAATTGGCTCAACATACAGACTGAATAGGTAAAGAGAAAGGTGACTCATGTGTTTTCTGATTTTAACAGCGTCCCTTGTTCTGTTCAGACAACTGCTTCTTGACCGAAGTATGGATTTCGTATGAGCACAATGAGGTGTTTTGGGATCTACATTCTTCTCAGTGTCATCCATACTTTATAAAGGTCCACACAGTCAAATGTGGTTGCACAGTCAATAAAACAAAATAAGACATCTTTCTGGTATTATCTGCTTTTAATCAAGATCTCCCTGATATCAATAAGGATATACCTTGAGCCTTATAGTCTCTTCTGACTCAACATAGCAGTTCCCTGTGGATGTACTGTTCCAGCAATTTTTTAATGATTATTTTATTTGCATGTGATAATAATAAGATTATTGAATAAATTTGACATTCTGTTGGATTACCTTTTTTCCTACCTTTTTTTTTTTTAAGGTAAAAAAGCAATGATCGTTCTATTGTTGTTGTTGTTGTTATGTGCCATCGAGTCACTTGCGAATCATAGCGACCCAATGTACAGGAGCTCTAAATGCCCTTCTATCCTGTGCCAACCTAGCTATCCCAAACACACTCATTCCCACCACTCCAGTCACAGAATCGATCCATCTCATCGAAGGTCTTCCTCTCCTTCACCAACTCTTCCCAGCATCATGTCCCTCTCCAAGAACTAGCCCTTCCAAACAACATGCCCAAAGTATGTGAGGTGAAACTTCATTATTCTTGCCTCCAAAGAGCACTCTGGCTGCACCCTCTCCAAGACATAACTGTTTGTTCTTTTGGCTGTCCATAAGATATTCAATGCTCTTGTCCAACACAACAGATTAATTTAATCTCAAAAGTAAGAAAAAAAAATCCTCATCAGAGGACCAAAGGGTAACATCATGACAGATGGAGAAAAAAATTGAAGTTGTCAAACTTTTCATTTGACTTGGATCCACAATCAACACACTTGGTAACAACAATCAAGAGATCAAAAAATCTGTTGCCTTTGGACAATCTACTGTCAAGAATGTCTCCAAAGTGCTAAAGAGTAATGATTTCAGTTAAAAGACTTAAGATTCACCTGATGCAAGCTATGATCTTTTCAGTTGCTTCTTATGAATCCAAAAGTTGAGGAATGAATAAGGATGATTGTTGTTGTTGTTAGGTGCTGTCAAGGTGACTATGAATAATAGTAATCCTACCAACAACATATCTGCATCCTGTCCTATCCTGTGCAGTCCTCAACATCTTTGCCACACCTGAGTGCATTGCTGCTGTCACAATGTCAATCCATCTGACTAAGGGTCTTCCACTCTTTTACCGACCCTCCACCTTTCTAAGCAGGATGCCGCTCTCCAGAGACTAGCCTCTCCTAGCAACATGCCCGAAATAAGCAAGATGAAGCTTTGTTATCTTTGCCTCCAAGGAGCACTCTGGCTACAGCCTCTCCAAGATATATTTGTTTGTTATTTTGACAGTCCATGGGATATTAATTTTAAAAAGTATAATAGAAGCTAATCAATGGACAGTTGGCTATAAATGCAACATACAGGCCCAAATTCAAAGGAGTTCAATTTCCTGGCCCTTTCATACACATTTAACATGTGCTAATTTATTATGATTAATGAGCTTTCAGCATGCTCTTTGCAATTGTTGGAGTACATACTTACGAGAAAAATTGGTACTTACTGTGGTTGGTTAAAAGAAAAAAAATATTATGATGTGTTTTCTTCCCTAAACTCTTCACAGGCATCAGGGTCTTGGCTCTGTCATATGGTGATTATTTGATTTTATATATATTTTTTATTGTGTGGGCTACATGGGGGAGTTTTTATTTTTCCTATTCTTTTGGTAAGAAAGGTCAGTTTCTATTGTTCACCTTTTTTTAAGCCAGTCAGAGCACTCCCTCCTGTCCAGAGTTTGAAAGGATCTACAGAGCCTATCTGATCAGTTTCATTTCTACCCCCATGAGAACCCAAAAGTATGATGTTCAAAGCCACCAGCTGCTCCTCAGGAGAAAGATGGGCCAGCTCCTCCTGTGCGATTTACTTCTCTGAAGACAACTGAGGGTCAGCTCTGAGTTGATTCTGACTTGATGACTTGATAGAACTCAGCAAGAACAACATCATTTTAAATAATTTAAACCTTTTCTTTCATCTGCCATGGCATTGTGAGAATGAGAAAAAGCAGTTGAGTAGAGCCATAGCAGAAGTTAATAATTTCATAGCTTCTTTCCCAAAGCAACGCTTCATAAATGCAGATTCCTTACTTAATTTTAAGAGGATTTAAGAAGTATCCTTTCAAAAGAGAGGGAAAAAATTGTTTTATTAAAAAGAAAGGCTCATGCAAATTCCTAAAATTGTGCAGATTCACAAAATCAGATGGGATTAGATTTGACTGCAAGTAAGTAACCAGAGGGAGTTGGCTCCAGCTTTTTCTGACTTTGTAACTGAATGCAGCTTTCTGTTCTGCCCTTACGTGGGTGGGCATTCTCGTCATGATTAAAGATGGAATTCTTGCTAGTACATCCAAGTTCCAAGCAGCAGGTTGGGGGTAGAAGGAAAAGGGGATACAGAGCACACACATTATTTTTTAAAAAACACCACCAAACTTCCTTGACACTGTCATAGTATATTGTATTTCCACTTCCAACTCACTGACCAGAACTTAGTTATATAGCCACACTTCCTTTCAGGGGAATTTGGGAAATACAGCCCTTTTCCTAGGTGTTCATATGTCCAGCTAAATATTTCATTTCTGTAGAAGATGGAGAATAGAAACTGATGTCTCTGCCTCAGCGAGCGTGTCTGCTGGTCACCTGCCCCATTAGCTCTGCCTCCATCCTTCTCTGACTGGTGTGTGTTGTTGATATGGCCTCCTCCTTTGTTCGCAGCCATGTCATGTCCACCCTCCCTGGTATACAACCATTGTGAGCATGGCTGCCCCCAGCACTGTGAGGGAAACACAAGTTCCTGTGGGGACCATCCCTCGGAAGGCTGCTTCTGCCCCCCCAACCAAGTCCTTCTGGAAGGTCGCTGTGTCCCCAGGGACGCCTGCACCCAGTGCATCAGTGAAGATGGAGTCCAGCACCAGGTAGGAGCCCTGGCTTCTAACTTTTCCTGCGGGTTTGCTCCCCTTGGAGTCAGCAGGATGAATTGTTCATCAATAATTAGCCCCTTGAGTTTTGTCAGTGGGAGTAAATTATTTAGGGGATCACTGGGAGATGTTGTGTTGTTATGTGCCTTTGGTTTGCTTGTGACTCACAGCAAACCTATGTACAATAGCCCTGAAATCTGCTCTATCCTGTGCCAACTTTACTGTCTCTGACACGACTACCCTCATCACACCAGTCACTAAATCAATCCATCTCTAGGGTCTTTCTCTTTCTCTGTCCCTCCACCCTCCCAAGCATGATGTCCCTCTCCAAGGACCAGTCCCTCCTTGCAACATGCCCAAAGTATGTTAGAAGAAGCCTCAGAATCCTTGCCTCCATGGAGCAGCCTGGTGTCCCCTCTCTAGAATGAATTGATACTGCATAGTGATTATGGAACAATATGGATCTTGGTTCAAATCCTGGGTCTTTCATTCATTAGTGATGTTATCAAATGCCAAAGTATTTTTACTACATTATTATTATTAAGGCCCTTGGGCCTGGTTTTAATTGTTTTTGGTCAAACATTCTT